ATGCTCTTTGAAGAGCTTGCCAATATCAGCCCTGATCGTATTCTCCTCACCGGATTGACTCGTAGATTGCTGCATGTTGTAAAAATGAATGTGAAAGACATTGATTTTTTCAGATTTCTACATATTAAGTAGCCAATGGAGCCAGAAGCAATAACGGCAGCCATCAAATGAACTAAAAACAACAGCTTTTGTCAGCTAAACATGTTCACGTGCATATTTTACAAAACTTCTACACAGCACTATTTCATTGATAGCTGAAAAACGACTAAAACACTGAAACCTCACATAAATGCAAGGTATGTAACAATTATAATGGAATGAATGCACCGACCTGGTGTTAAAAACTCTCGAAACCAACGAAATAACTAAAATTAACAGCAACTGACACAAAAATGAGTGGAAAAGCAACATTTGCGAACAATATGCATCAGGATAAGTTGTGAATAACTGCAGGATAAACGTAAAAACCAATGTGTAAACGAACGACTACGGAACTGCAATCCAACATGGCCGACTAACATGGACGGAAATGACCTTTGAGCGTCTCACTCCATCAACGACCTTGAGCATGCGGGATAATTTCAGCCCGGGGATGAAAAGGAGAATATTGTACCAGTTGTGAAGACTACATCTGAGGTTGGTGATGTTTTGGAATATGCTGAAGAGAGTTTTAATAAAATTTTGACGAGCACAGATGTGTATAATTTATTCATATTTGTTGCTTGCCAAAAGTCTGGTTGCTTTGATTAAAAACACAACAACACCTGTGTTTGAACAAAGCTATGTCTTCATCGAAAACATCATATTTCCCATGCTTAGACCAATATGGTTAGCATTACACATTGCAAATGTATACTATCATTTCAAGTACTATATAGCTTCCTCTCCCTGTGTTTATCTTGTACATATACTCCCAATAATGTATTTATAAATGCATTCTATACCATTTTGCAGGTGCACAGAATTTTCTTCTCTTCCTGAAATAGAGTTCAATCACGTGGCGGCATAGCACTCACCCAGATATACGCTGTTCACTGGTTGACCATAAGTATCAGCAGAAAACGGAACGAAGTTTGGGTTGTAACTCAAATTTGATGGTGACCTTAGTAAACAGTTTACAATTTAAAATTTATAAGAACCTGTTCTGATTGCTTGCACAATAACTGAACAATTGGAACATTTGAAAAAGTATTAATCTATGACACTTCAGGATTGTAATTCATAACATTATTGATCGTGCCTGTAAAATGGCTTGGATTTCTTGTAAACTTACCCATTTATACGAAATGTAAATTATTATTATTATATGGCCAACCTCAACATTGAACTCTGAATGTAGATTTAGCTAAAGGTTCGCTGCCACATGGGTTAATACGCTGTTAAAGGAGAATTGATGGCTCTAAGCACGATTTCTGGCATCTAGGGTGGAAATTATAGATCATTTTAAGATGTAGGATTGTAAATTGTTATTGTTGTGGAATAAAGTGATTATTATTATTAAATAAATACGTTAAGTGAATAACCCTTGGGGATACAGACTTGCAGTCTTTGACCAAGCCGAGACAATCTAATGATTGCAAAGGAACTCAAACAGATACAAAATAAACCAAATGGTTCCAGTTACAATCAATTGAATTCAAAACGAAACCAAATGGCTTCAAACCGAATTATATAGATAATCGAATTTTGAGGAACTGCAAGATTATAGTTCTATTGAAGCACAACTTTTGTTTTTAATGGTGGAAACACTTGTCGCCATAAGGGTGCTTGGATTTCGGCTTACGAACATATTCTTGCGGACATTTTGTAGATAACCTGAGACTGTGTCTTAATGGCACTCGCATCATTCAAAACAAATCTTTAATATACATCGGACCTTTCTATGCTTTCATACTGCAACATAAATACAATCTTTATGGGTAAAATTAGATGGAATAGTCGTGAGATCTGCTGCTGACTGATTTAAAAATGCCGTTCCATCTATCATCGGAAACTGCATTTCTCATTGCTATCTATTGTGATATTTTCCCCAATTTGGCGGGTAACATAGAATCGACAGTTTGAAACGTTCGTAAAAATGTGCGAATGGAAATCACACAGTTCGAGGGCATACTTGACTGATTAACACAGAAGCGATATTTTCACAGTAATACAATTAGCTACATGGTTCTCCATCTAACGAACTACTGCAATTCAGCCGCTAAATATTTCTGAGTACTTTAAGGTTCGTGAGACTGAAGAGCAGCGAACTACATTCGTTTTCATGACGGACATTCCCCAGCAGATAAAAATGGTGGCTGAAAGCTTACAAAGTTTATCATGTGCTTAACACTAACAATCCCGGGAAGAATAGGAGGACAATCAAAATACATCCGGAAGAACTGGGTGATGACCGGCCTCTCCAGAAGACCAGAGATTTAAGGCTCACTCCTGCCATAATAAGGTTCATAGATTTTGGTGGCCGTTTAGGGCCTCTATAACACACTGTGCTATGGCCGCCCAGATATAGCTAGTAAATAAGGGAATGAGGAGGGTGGTACGGGTAACCAGGTAGGGACTATTTCGTCTGTATGATTTGTAGAACTTACTCTCTCTAATGAATAGCAAGTACCGTTCCATTTGTTTTACCAGTTATCTCGCTTCACTTGCCCTTTGCCATGTTTTTAAAAAAATCAGCATTTAAGATCAGAATTAGCTCTTTGCAACAATCTCAGCTGTCGGTCAGTAATTTAGTTAAATTCCTTAGAAACTTCACACGACTCTTCCTATTTATATGCCTAGTGATTTGGGAAGTTATTATGATAGAAAAGAGATTTTTTAAAGTTGTACAGGGATTTTGAAAGAAAGGCTGTAGCTATAAGAGGATGGCTAGTCTTTAATTCACTACAGATGTTTCATATTAGGCCTCGGAGCTATATTCAGCTCAGCCACGTGTGAGTGGCCTGGTTCACTCATGGCTGGAGGACGTTCTAGAAAGTAGACATTAAGGATTCTCACCTGAAGCGTTACGACCTGTGTAACCAAAACGCACATTAATAACAAAAGCCTTTAGGACGCTACTCCATGTAGACTTCACATCATGTATTTCACTATATGGGACACTCTACCCTAGAAATCAAAACCTGCACCTCCTTTGTACTGTTCAAATGCCGGCCATGCAAACTGTCACATTCTAGTGACCACACAAACCTGCGGCTTCGTGCGACAATAATGGCCAACCTTGGGGAACTATCTTCTGTCCGATGCAATAAAACTATTCCCCATGGTTATGCCTGATATTTGTCTGCGTCAAATACAGTTCACTCCTGTTTCCTCAATATGGTGAAACTGTTGAGAGGCTAATTCGAACATACTGCTTACTTTAAATTAGTACACCGTCTGACTGTAAATCAAGAATAAGTTACTATCCTGTATCCAACAAACTCATGCAGCAGAATCGACTACAAGCTTCACCTTTTCAAGGTGTTTGCAATCCATCCTACGCGGGCTTGGATGTCTTTGTTAAAGCGAAAACTATGTTCCCACATTTGTTAATGTGCTAACTAGTTGGCAGTTCGTTCCAGCTGACTCTTAATTCAAAAATAACGGTAACTACACAAATTCAATATAAACCAAACTTATATAATTTAGATAATAACTTATCCATGCTTTTAAATTTGGATGTTTCTGCATAGATAGGCATAAGTATATTGCTATTATTGTTGAAGGAACTCTATGCTGTAGTCAGTCTTTCCAAACCCTCATGGAATATCTTTGTATCGCAGGATTCTGCCTAAGAGCTCTCAGTGTTTCCGACTTGGGTCAACGATCTGCCGATCCATCTCAAATGAAAGACTCTTCTTCGCTCCAACGACGTAAGTATTCACAGTCCGACATAGTACCTGGAAAACTCCGGTTACAGGAAGATACGAAGATTCTGGAAGACTAGAAACTAGCGAGCGGCATGACTTTCAATCCAGAACATGCCAAGTAGTGAAACTACACACCGATTTGACGATAACCTTTTTGTGTAGTGTCACAAAGTGACTTAGGTCTCCTTCTGACGTAAAATCTGGATGCGATTGTGAAACATTCGACTGAAGTGATGGTGTGTGAAGCTATGCACTTCACTTGCAGACATTTTTATGATTTTAATCTTGAGATTTTCCTAAGACTGTTGATAACACACGTACGCGCTTGGAAGTGCACAATTCCAGTGCTCACCTGTTATTTTTAAGGTGCGCCAAACCTTTTAGAAGATGTTAAAACATGGCTGACAAAAGGTATGATGCGTCTCCAGGATAAACGTTATTATGAAAGGGCGAGAAAATTAAGCCTCCTCTTACTTCGCTGCTGTCGGCTTAGGGGCGTGTGCAATATAATGATGAGATGGAATCACACAAGGGAAGGTAATCCGGCATTAAGTCATTACGGGCTTGCTCGTGTCAACCACAGAGGGCCGCGCATCAGACAGCAAAGACTGGAGCGCACTTTCATATGCTGGATAATCATGCAGCAATACTAGAGGCATGTAGAAGTAGAGACTCATACACCACACTCTCTTAATTAGTATCAGTTGAATTAATCCCATACCACTGCCAATTCAGCCTCTTCTCATTTTCCTGACTAATCTACCTACTCATTAACCTATTTTATTTTTGAATTATTAAATTTCAATACCTATCAGTTTGTACGTTTTAAGCCTAATTAATCTAAACTGATTATGTCCGTTTTAACCTCTGTTTTCGACTCCTCTGGAAGACGGGTGAAAGGACCATCTACATTCATCGAAGCGATACGCTTACTGTAAACTCCACACCACATCCTTTGGAGTCAACCAAAGCTATGCAGTCAGGTGGAAGAACATACTACGCATGAGTTTACTAAAGACAGAGAAACTTCGCGTTGTAACCAAAGTGCGAGCAAAGAGAAATCAGTTTGGTTTAGACTACCTCGTTAAAAAGCCGCATTGGATATTTGTAAATTTCGTTGCGCTTAGTCCAAATATATGCGTTACTAGAATGAGGGCTGAAGATGGTGAGCGGGCTATTGTTGCGGTGCAGGATACCCTCAACAGTATTAAAAGTCGCCCACATCGTCAACAAGTTCTAATGGGAGTGGGCTCAGGACTGTATGTGTACTAGAAAGCTGACTTATTCCCCCTTAGAGTTGCAGGTTACATCTTCGCGAAAATTGGCAGAGCAGCTGCACTCCTTTTAGGCGGGACTTTAATTGCCTTGCAAGTACGCTACTTTTTTGTCTTATGCCTTTATAACTTCTGTAACAGACTCGTAACGTGAGTGTTGTGTATTTTAATATTTCTTGGCGAAGTTAATGTATCATAGGCAAAGTCAAGTTCTTTCAAAAGTTGACCTTCAAGAACCAATTAGACACAGGAGATGTTATAAAACATCATTCCGAATCAAGTTGTACCTGTGTTTCTGGACTTAAACAGGATAGATACAGTATTCCACTCATACTAGGTCTTAAAGATTAGGGTTTAGAGTCTAGGGTTACGGTTAGGATGTCTAAATTTAGGGTCAGAAGTTAGAATTATGGTTACAGTTAGAAGTAGGTCTGAAGAAAAGTGTCAGAAATATCAATCTTGACCAATCCGCGCACCACTCCTCTTGGAGTCTACCAGAGCTAAAGCAGTCGAGTGGCGGGATTTACTACGCATAAGATCACCGAAGATCTGGAACCTCTACCTTACAATCAAGAAGCGAGCTCAAAGAAATCACTGGTTTATACTAGTTCGTAATCAAGATATTGGATATTGGATCTTAAAGCACTACTACCTACAGCCACCAGGATGTATGGGTATATCGCACATAGTACGATTTTTCTATAGATCATCTGTTTATTGACTGCAACTTACAACACAAAAGCTCCAACTCTACAATACGTTATCATGTTTTCAGTGGTTTTTAGTGGATTTTGCAAAGGTTATGCGACATTTTGGTATCTGAATCCTGATAAGTCCGATTTTGCTGTGATAGTTTAACTTTGCCGTCTATACATTACCCCAGTGAATTAAAGTTTGTCAGTGAATTTTGGTATTACGGGGCAGAAAGCCCACTTCACTACGAACATATGGTATTATGAAATTGAGTGCCAAAAGCTGAGTGCTGTCGTACAATGTCTTTTAATTTCAGGGCTTTTAAATTATCTCAAATAATTATAAATAAAAATAGATCCTAAATAAGAATGTTTTTGGCACTAGGATATTTACTGAACATTGCCCTCAGGTTTCTAAATAAAACTTTTCGGGAGAATTCCAAACGTCTCCCCAAAACATTTCGAAATTTCTCCCAAAATTTTTATTTGGGTAATGCTAAGGTTTTGTCGACCAAGATATGAGTAATGTCAAAGTATGAACATTCGTTAGCGTAATCTTGTTTTAAATGTTTACTATCAATCATAATTGGGAGAATTTTTGCATGAAGACAGTAAATCTGGAAAAATGTGCGCTATGTCCCTTTCAGAAAGTCGGGGAAAGGACAGTGAAGACGTGTGATCTGTGGAAAAGCTGCACTTTAATCATTTGGAAGTGAGGTAAATAGGGAAGATGACGAAAGTGGTTAATAGTATTATATTTCATCCTCGTTTAATCCGTCCCCCTATACCCTACGTTTTACGCTGCAAATACATAGAGGCTAAACATTTTTCGAGAGAGTTGAGTGTGGAAGTGGAAAACAGCCTCTCTAAGATTTATGCAGGTTTAATTTTTCTGTATTCCTACTGAGTCGATGTCCAGTGTTCCTGGAACTATTCGGTCAAGTCCTGATCAGAGTGCATATAAAATTAAAAGACTAAATTATCATGACTGCTGTTTTTGGGGGAACAGATAGGTCTCTGTATGGTCATCAACATAACAACCTAGTACTGACTGCTAATTAGAATTTATTGTACTAAGCACATCCAAAACAAACAATACATTAAATCGTGTTCGTTTCTGTGAAATCGAGTTATCAGTATTCTTAAAGTAACCTAAACCTCTCCAAGTCGGCATTAAGGCCAGTAAAGAGGGATGGTTGGGCGTTAGGCTAGCAACCGCACCTCGTAAAAATAAAACCGCTGCTACGGAAACTTTAAAGCTATAACTTGAATCTGTATGTTCAACTCGCAACGTAAAGGAATAAAATAAAATATTAGGGTAAAAGTAGTGTCATATATCATTCTGCTTCAAAAAGTGTCTAAGAATTATATTCTTTGAAATTTCTTCTATCTATCTAGTGTGCAGTTCAACAAGATATTATTCACATTAATTGGAGGAGAGTAGAACATGCTGGTGACCGGTTAAAGTCGAGTACACCGATTTTCGGAGATAAGGTAAGTTCATTGGGTGAAACATTTTTCAGGTTACTAGAAAAGATTATTAGCATCGGTATACTTATAAAGCTGATTGTTATGCTTATGCCAACCTACTGATTATTGGATTGAAATTCATAGAATAAAATCCGCCATTCAGAAATTACACTTCTCGAGGTCGTCTCACCACAATTTCCTGCAATAGTTTCTACTTTCATGCATTTTTGCTTGCTTCCTTGATTATCATTCATAGTATGAAGCAGATCAGAATATGCGATCTTAGTGTTTCTGGTTTCCAAAAGAAACTGGTGAAATTTCACCCCGAACTGTTCAATTTGAAGATTCCCGCTCAACCTTGACAACTGGGTAGTATCATCAGCTCACACAATGTGTAGCTCATAGTCTACTGAATGCAAAGTCTGCTCCGTGTAACTGAGCTCAAGCAGGTCCTAGGAGAATGTATTTTTCCCCTATTTTTGTGGCTCATGTCTTGGCGTCCAAAATGTAGCATATGTTTTTCTAGGAATAAGTTTAGAAAGTTTTTTTTCATAAAATGTATTTCCTAATGAAGTTAAATACCTGGAAAACAGTAGTTGCGTGGGTTGCACTTCACATGCTTAGCAAAGGAAAATGAATATAGAATACATACTTGGTTTTTTAATTCAAATGTCAAGTCTTAAATCTGTGTGTGAAAATACTCTCTATGTTCCAAGGTATCTTTCAAAAAAGTATCTTTTTTCGGAACCACTTTATCGTTTGCTGGTAACTATTAAAACGATGAATTCAGAATATCCTATGTAAATGTCAATGCTTTAGTGGTTCAAAGGTTCACTAGAAACCACATGAGTGGTCTGTGTTCGATTCCTGGTCGACGCACTCTTCAACTTTGCCTAGTTCATTAGCTGATAGTAGGCTCACAAACGAGGAAACGTTGCTGGTGAGGTCAGTGGTTAGGACTCTCGCCGACCATGCACATAGTCCGGGGTTCGAACCCCTGCCGACGCACCCGATATCTATGGTCGGCCTGCAAAATTTGGGCTACCGATATCCATGCTGAGAATTCCATACTTGTACTTAAAATACGGTGTGGTATCAAGCTGTAAATAAAATAAAAATAATAAAATAAAATAAATTCATTAATAAGCGACCCTGTTGCTTCTGCAACGCTCGAAACCAAAGAAATGACAAAACGCAGCTACCAAATACTAGTCACATCATTTTCAAAATCTTGTTTTTTCACCTGCACTTTCTGAATAAACAAACATATTCTGTCCACTTCTTTCAATGAAATATCAATTGGTTTTTGTGTTCAACAGAAAACAATTTACCAAATCAAGAGATAGGATTTCTTTCATTATCTTCTCGGTACTGATTGTTCACTCCATCCAGGTTCATTACGTGAATCTCTGTTTGTGCTTAAGCAATTAAGTAGTTGCATTTCATGTCTAGTCGTTTCAAAGTCTACACACTAAATCCATTCTATAAGGCTTCTATTATGTTTCCACTTGGCACACTTGATGTGCTTAGTTTTATGCCAGTTACTGACTCAATAAAATATTTTTATTAACCAGTATTATTCGTTTGATGTTTTCCGGATGCTACACTCTGTTCTCCATAATCACTTCTAGTTGGCTTCAGCACTGCCCACAAGCTTTCCTATATCCTTTTTACATAGTCTTCTCCTCAGATGGTCAAGCCATCGCTTCCCATTCGGATTCCACTTGAGAGTCTGGTGTGTGATGTTACTGAAAGTCCTCCTTAGAATATATCCAATTCATCTCTATTCTCTTTCGTCTTACTTTCGGGATCCGTTCGTGGTTGGATGGCTTTTACACATCTGTCCGCGCTACCACCTGCAGTTGAGACGATTCTGTTTACCAGCAGGAGCATTTTAAAGATTCTTCTGAATACTGTGGTTTTCAGAAGAACAGTTCTTAGTCAGCAAGTAGATATTTACATATCTTGGTAAAGCTATCAAACTAATCGATATTACTGAAGTAATCTTCAATAGTTCAGATGGTTTGTCAAAACTTATACATACTGGTAGACACTATGTCAGCTGACCATCTCTTCTGTTTTTTCTGCAGCAGAAGACCAATTTGCTTGAATGCATATGCATTATTATTATTATTATTATTATTATTGTATCCTTTAATTCCTACAGAAAAAAAGGGCTTCAGCCGTGCGTCTCCATTGCGTTCTGCTCTCTGCTAGAGTCTTCACCTGGCTCCATGTCTGCCCACACGTTTTCATCTCCTCTTCACATGACCTCCTCCAAGTCACCCTTGGACGACCAACTCGCCGCTTCCCTTTCGGGTTCCACTCAAGGGCTTGTCTAGTGATGTGGCATATGCATTAGACTGAATAATTAGTAACAATTAACTGACTATTTAATGACTTTTGTACTCATTATTGACTCGATATATATTTTTAAGCACATGATTGACATTTGCATTATTTATTTTTAGCTCGATTTTTTTTAACAAGATGGCTCATGATATTGCATAGGTGCAAACGGCAGCTATAATTTACCAGTTTTCTTCATCACTGGATATATGACCCGTTGGCTTAAGCATTGAGCCTCAGTCTAGGCAATTGATTACTATTATCTGTCCTTACAATCAATGGGGTTCTTAATCTGGTACTTGAAAGATTTGTTTCGGATAACTAAGTTCCAAACCCTATCCTTCAGCCTGAGCAACCACATAGTATCATCGGCTTTCACTCATAGCAGTACGACTCACTACCTGGTCCTGTCTTTGTCTTTTTAAGAACATACACGATACCGACTTCACCGTTGACGTTTCAATAGGTTATTGCTTACATTATGCAACTTCTACTCGAAATGATTGTGAAGTATAAGGTGGTTAGCCGATTATCCAGTTATTAAAGTTACTGATTCAACGGGAGCATGCTGGCCAATCATGCACGTGTCCTGGGTTCAATTCCCGACTGATGCACTCCTAAACCTCTTATAGTGTATCAACTGATAATAATTCTCAAGAAGAGGGAAGATTGAGCGTGAGGATAGTAAACCAACTCCGTAGAAACAATAACACCACTAATGAAGCCTTATATCCTTCTCAGAACCTAAGGAATAAATATCTATTTGACCTATGTAATTTCAAAGTATGGACAAAGTGAGCTTTCTCTATCGAAATTTATCAAGGAAACCAAATGTATGAAAGTGAGCTTAATTTCACAAAAAGTTGTCTGTCTGAAAAACAATACTGTTTCAGTTATTGTCCTAACTTTTCTTTCTTTTACTCTAAATACTTTATTTCTCTATTAAAGAAGAATGCAAGCATAAAACGCAAAGTTAGTTTTAAAAACAAAAATTGCATGTTGTAGATTTTGTTTTGTTGTTATTTCTGTAGGAATATAGTGTAGTGATGTGAACCATTGTTTGTTTGTTTGTTTGTTTCGGTGAGGAGTGTGTGGGGAGGGTTGCTTTCTGTGTAACACTGTGTTATCATTCTGGTGATCTACATTATTTTTTCGTTAAAACGACTCTATTTTACTTCTTGTTTTTAATGAATGCAATCTTTCTTATATATTTGGGTGTATACGAATATTCATTCTTTGAAGAGAAAAACATTTCATTTCAAATTTGGTTTGTTAAATAGCGTAAGACTTTTGGTTGTTTCAACTCTCAATTATCTGGGACAGATCTTTTCTAACAGTCTACGGCAGACTATCGTCAACATTTTCCCCTTTCACTGTCTTGATACTGAAGACCAGATAATCGAGCAGGAAGAATGAGCAAATAACAAGGAACTCTGTCTGTCAAAGAACGAGACAACAAATTACTGTCCAACCAACAAATTGGCATTCACGTGATGTCACACTTCAGGTGGTTGAGGTGAACGTAGATAGAAAGCGACGGGTTCGGTGTCTGAATGTGATATGTGGAGAAGATCATGTGGAGGATGAAATCAAAGCGTGTGGATAGTCATAGAGTCAGTTGCATACGACAATAGAGAACTAAATGAAGTGGAGATGCACTAGTAAAGCCCCCACTCAGCAGAGCTCGAGGAAAGAATGCTACTATTATTTTTATTATTGTTTCATTGAGTTCTCAGTGGAAAATAGGGTTTCAATATCACATCCATTCCATTCTGTTCCCTGAGGTTCCTTTTAGTTGGCTGTATGATTGCCCAAAAGCTTTCATCCCCTTCATGACAATCTTGGACGTTTAACTCATTTCTGACTCGGGTTCCGCTCAAGCAATGGCTTGCCGCGTAATGTCACTCAACAGTCTCCTTGGCATGTGTCGGGTCCACCTTCATTTCTGTTGGCATATCTGTTGGTTGGTTCTTTGTCGCTAATCCTTTCTGGCCGGCCATCTGATCTTCAGTACCAAGCGAAGGCAGCTGTTGGTAAAATCCTGTTGCCTGTTAAAAGTGCTTTCGGTGACGTGCTCACCAAGTCTGAGAATTTTATAGTAACACTTATTCAACATTAATGTTCAAAATCCGAATCTTTATCTTTATGTATGATCCCAGCAGATTTCCACACTGATTTCAAGTCAGTGAAGGTTTGTCTTACTTTCCCAATCCTGCTTTTCACATTCCCATCCTTGCTACCGAGACAAGTGGAAAAAGTGACTTCAAATGAGTTTCAGTGTAGTCATTACTTTTAGCTTTGAATATGACGTGTTTTTTCTCAGTAGTCAACTGAAGTCATGAACTGGAAACAGATAAATACGACAAGTTTTCAAACAGAAACATATTAGTCAGTCGACATTAATCAGTGTATTAGCCAAGAAAATGAAGACATTATACGGTCGATATGGTTAAAAATAATCAAATGGTTGTAGATTCATTGCAGATACTTAGTGAAGAAGTTCATGGAGTGTGTTGACTTATTTTCAAAGAAATTTCTGCTGAAATGTTAATTTTATTTGAACTTTAATATTAAAAATAATATTTTAACACGATGAAATTTAGCTATTCACCTCCAAGGAATACAATATTAGTGGCAATGTGCTGGCTCATTGACCTAAGCAACCCATGAATCTCGGTTTCGAGACCCTAACTACCTGGCTGGTTGTCACACAATAGTTATGTTCTTCCAACTAACTAAATTCTCACTGAATATAGTTTCAGTAAGCGTCGGTGGCACAGCGATACAATGCACGTCAACCATCCAGGTGGTTTGAGGTTCGATCCCCGGTCGACTCCTTTACCTCGTAACAAGACTGGTAAAGAGGGAAGGTTGGGCATGAAGCTAGCAATCCCACCTCGTAAAACTAAATACAACCGCTACCGAAACTTCAAAGCTCTAGCCTGAGGCCTTGTGTTCCACTAGGAACGTAAAGGAATAAAAAAACAGTTTCCGTAGAAGTTGATACAGTTTGTCTGCTGTTAAACGTGTTATATTACAGTGCATACTGACTAAGCAAACTGATCGCTAGATAGTAATCAATGTAACTATCTAATTTAAATCGTTTTAGTCGAAATCTCTCGATTGAATGTAATGCTGAGGTTATGCGTGGAGTGTGTTACGTAAGGAGGAAAGAAAGTCGATCGATGAGATCGTAAGGCTGCATCTGTTGAGATGGTTAGGACACGTGTTATGCATGCTAACCTTTCACCTTCCTCGTCAAGCAATGTTAGCTGACTCAGGATTACGTTGGAAAAGTTTAAGTAATGGTCACTCAAACCTTTGACTGTTGACTTGAGTCAGCCACGTCAAAAGGTGTCGACTGCGTGCTCAGGGTCCTCGAGGCGTTAAGAACCAATGATTTCAAACTGTCGGTGATATGATTCAAAGCCGCCTTGAATGATGAAGGTACATTCATTCGTTCTGTAAGATATTCGAAACTCGTTACATCCTCATTATTCTCTCCCGTACATTCCTGTTTATTACAGTTCCTTTCCTTTTGTTTTCTCTCTACCTTTTTATGCACTTTATGTGGATTGTGTCAAGTTGAACTGCTGAACGTTCATGGAAATTTTTACACTAAAAA